CAAAATATGAACTAAAAAAAAGTACGGAGCTCAATAATGCACGTCTGAACACAATAATGCACAGATAGATAGAACCGGACTGACGTGAAGCAGACCGAGGTAGACTTTGAGCTTACAAATGGCGCTTGAGCAGCTGCCGCTATTAGTCCATACCTCATTAATGATCTGCCTCCAGACCTTATGTGCCTAACCCACCCTGTCAACTTTCCCTGTGGGAGGAAACACGGAGTGCCCGGAGAAAACCCACGACTTTCGGCAGAGCGTTGACTTTTACTCTTTTCACATGAGGACTGGGTTCGAGTCACATTGAGAAGTTCTCACTGAGACTCGAACCCGCGACCTTAGAGGTGAAAGGCAAGTGCGCTAACCACTTGGCCACCGAAGCCCCTTAAAAACCTTATAAACATGGTAATATGATGTTTGTGGTGTTACTCTGAGTGTGTATCCACACCGGGCAAGCTGAAACGTTTGCCTGACCATGGTGGGAATCGAACCCGCGACCTTTGGGATACTAGTCCAATGCTCTACCAACTGAGCTACGTCTATGGTAATCGTCAGGCTGGCTACGCTACTGTTCATGAGTAAAATCATCTAGTGTTATAGACTGAGTAAAATATAGTTTTTCAGTTTTTCATGCATTTCAGCTTAATGCGTTGACAAGACACATTAATTTGGCAGATTCGACTTATGAGTATAGGTAATCATGCGATGGCGAGTACAATTCGGGATTAATAGTACGAGTGATGTTTGGAAATTTTGCCAAAATTGGACGAGCCGCCGGAGCGAGTCCAATTTGGCAAATTTCCAAACATCACAAGTACTATTAATCCCTAATTGTACGAGCAACATCGCATGATTACTTGTTTATTATTAGCATGACAAAATTGGATACGTACTTCTCAATGTCAACATCATATTCTCTCGCCAAAGTCCAGTCCTGCCAGACTTTCAACCAAAATTTGTTGCTTTTGTTTGTATTTTCATTTAGTTCTTTTGTTCAAGCAAAATTTGGTGCTTTTGTTCGTATTTTCATCTACTGTAGTTCCTCCACGGCAATTTCATTTCGCATTTGTGTTTAAAATACCTTTCCGCCATTTTTTTGGTTTGGGAAAATCATTAATTGTACTGCAGTACAATTAATGAAATAATTGTACTCCTCTCAACCAATCAGCATCCAGTAATTTTGTCATGCTAATAATAAATGGCGTAATTATGAGCTATACACTAAGTCGTCATGATGTGTTACAAGTTGAAATGATGAGTTAGAATGACGAGTCATGTCAAGTCAATACCATTCGTCATTCATTTCAGGATGATCTCATACAGAAATATGATTTACCTGCTGTATCTAAATCAAGCCTAGAACTGAAGGAACAAAAGGTGTGTGGTGCTATACTAAAGTACTGACTGGGGCTTTTTTTAAGGCTTTTTGTAGTACAGTGATGATGGTGGTGGTGAGATAGTTATGGTGATGATTGTGGTGGTGAGATGTTGCTGCTGGTAGTGATGATGATGGTAGTGATCATGATGATGATGGTAGTGATGATGATGGTGGTAGTGATGATGATTGTGGTGATCATCATGATGATGATGGTAGTGATGATGGTGGTGATGATGATGGTGGTGATCATGATGATGATTGTGGTAGGTGGTGATGATAATGATGGTGGTAGTGATGATGATGGTGGTGGTGGTGATGATGATGATGATGGTAGTGATGATGATGGTGGTAGTGATGATGATTGTGGTGATGATGATGATGATGATGATGGTAGTGATGATGATGATGATGGTAGGTGATGATGATGATGATGGTAGTGATGATGATGATGGTGGTAGTGATGATGATGGTGGTGATCATGATGATGATTGTGGTAGGTGGTGATGATAATGATGGTGGTAGTGATGATGATGGTGGTGGTGGTGATGATGATGATGATGGTAGTGATGATGATGGTGGTAGTGATGATGATTGTGGTGATGATGATGATGATGATGATGGTAGTGATGATGATGATGATGGTAGGTGATGATGATGATGATGGTAGTGATGATGATGATGGTGGTAGTGATGATGATGGTGGTGATCATGATGATGATTGTGGTAGGTGGTGATGATAATGATGGTGGTAGTGATGATGATGGTGGTGGTGGTGATGATGATGATGATGGTAGTGATGATGATGGTGGTAGTGATGATGATTGTGGTGATGATGATGATGATGATGATGGTAGTGATGATGATGATGATGGTAGGTGATGATGATGATGATGGTAGTGATGATGATGATGGTGGTAGTGATGATGATGGTGGTGATCATGATGATGATTGTGGTAGGTGGTGATGATAATGATGGTGGTAGTGATGATGATGGTGGTGGTGGTGATGATGATGATGATGGTAGTGATGATGATGGTGGTAGTGATGATGATTGTGGTGATGATGATGATGATGATGATGGTAGTGATGATGATGATGATGGTAGGTGATGATGATGATGATGGTAGTGATGATGATGATGGTGGTAGTGATGATGATGGTGGTGATCATGATGATGATTGTGGTAGGTGGTGATGATAATGATGGTGGTAGTGATGATGATGGTGGTGATTATGATGGTGGTGATTATGATGTTGATGATGGTAAAGATGGTGGTAATGATAATGATTATAATAGTGGCAATAATGATTGGTGATGGTGATAATGATGATGGTGATGATGAAATGATGAAACACAGTTCAGTTGAAACCAAACAAATCTCTATATTTCAGAATCTATTGAGAAGTCCTCTAGACACAATCACCGGGAGGAATAATAACAATATCCCAAAACAGAAAACCAAGAAAATATCTCCAAAAAATGCCAAAGACCCAAGTCAGCGCACACTTAACTTTTTTGTTCAAACACCCAACGCCAACACAACTACCAAAGACCATACTACGCCGACCAAAGACAAAAGTTCTGAAAAACTTAAAGGAAGTCCTGTAATAGCCGAACTTAAGATTTGTCTGACGCCTAAGAGCAAAGTTAAGGAGGTGGTGGCAAAATCGTCGGAAAATTCTAAAGCTGACTCGGTGAGGAATGAGGATGGTAGCAAGACTGAGGGAAAGGCTGCAAGAAGCTTGTTTAATGTTGAACAAGATGTCGCAGAAGTTATAGATAAGGTAAAGCATTCAGTCCTAAACTGTTCTTCCTAGAGGTTCGGTCCAGTGTTAATACTACAGGAGGAAACCTAAACTAAACTAACTTTATTTAAACTGGATAGCTCTATCTGTTCTAAACTGTTCTTCCTAGAGATCCAGTAAGGATCATCTCTTATTGATTCAGTGTTACTACAGGAGGAAACCTAAACTAAACTAACTTTATTTAAACTGGATAGCTCTATCTGTTCTAAACTGTTCTTCCTAGAGATCTATTACGGATCATCTCTTATTGATTCAGTGTTACTACAGGAGGAAATCTAAACTAAACTAACTTTATTTAAACTGGATAGTTCTATCTGTTCTAAACTGTTCTTCCTAGAGGTCCAGTAAGGATCATCGCTTATTTATCCAGTGTCACTACAGGAGGAAACCTAAACTAAGCTAACTTTATTTACGCTGGATAGCTCTATCAATTCTAAACTGTTCCCCCTAGGGGTCCAGTAAGGAACATCTCTTATTGATCCAGTGTTACTACAGAAGGAAACTTAAACGAAACTAACTTCATTTATACTGAATATCAGTTCTAAACTGTTCTCCATAGAGGTTAGGTAAAGATCTGTTCCAGTGTTACTACAGGAGGAAACCTCATATGTTACTAAGAAACAAAAATGTGAGGCTTTGTGAAGTGGCGCAATTAAAAACCCTATTTGGAAGATTGTGTCTTCTTGATATGACGGTTTTTGCCTACTAGGCAAGATCGCTGACTAGTCTGTAGATACAGTACTGCGTGAAGTTTAATCTATCTCTTCCTTTCAGGCTGATGAAGTGGCGAAAAGTGAAATCACAATACAAGATGACGAAGAAGATTTCGTTCCAAAGAAGCCAAGTGTAATACCTGACAAAGAAAACAAGAAATGCCATGAAGATGCTAAAACAAGTGCTGGCAAAAAAATTACTGAGAAGAAGATTGAAACTAACTTGAACGAAAAAGAAAATGGTCATTCAAGTAAACTAGATAATGTTGATAACGTCAAAAAAATTAGTAGTAAAAAGGTAATCACAGTGAAACTGCTATGCAGAGGTAGACCAAGTTTTTTGAGATCTATGTTTTCACAGAAAATTTTCTGAGTTACTAAACTCTGAAGATTAGACTAATTGAATATCTAAACCACTAACTACCTGCCTATAATGATCAAGCATGTACAGTGTAGTTAATATATTAACTGGATACCTAAATCAAAGCGGGAAAGTTTCGTAAAAAATATTCATATAGCCTATTCCAGTGTTACTACAGGAGGAAACCTAAACTAACTTTATTTATTCTGGATAGCGCTATCAGTTCTAAACTGTTCTCCCTAGAGGTTCGGTAAGGATCATCTCTTATTGATCCAGTGTTACTACAGGAGGAAACCTAAACTAACTTTATTTATTCTGGATAGCGCTATCAGTTCTAAACTGTTCTCCCTAGAGGTTCGGTAAGGATCATCTCTTATTGATCCAGTGTTACTACAGGAGGAAACCTAAACTAACTTTATTTATTCTGGATAGCGCTATCAGTTCTAAACTGTTCTCCCTAGAGGTTCGGTAAGGATCATCTCTTATTGATCCAGTGTTACTACAGGAGGAAACCTAAACTAACTTTATTTATTCTGGATAGCGCTATCAGTTCTAAACTGTTCTCCCTAGAGGTTCGGTAAGGATCATCTCTTATTGATCCAGTGTTACTACAGGAGGAAACCTAAACTAACTTTATTTATTCTGGATAGCGCTATCAGTTCTAAACTGTTCTCCCTAGAGGTTCGGTAAGGATCATCTCTTATTGATCCAGTGTTACTACAGGAGGAAACCTAAACTAACTTTATTTATTCTGGATAGCGCTATCAGTTCTAAACTGTTCTCCCTAGAGGTTCGGTAAGGATCATCTCTTATTGATCCAGTGTTACTACAGGAGGAAACCTAAACTAACTTTATTTATTCTGGATAGCGCTATCAGTTCTAATCTGTTCTCCCTAGAGGTTCGGTAAGGATCATCTCTTATTGATCCAGTGTTACTACAGGAGGAAACCTAAACTAACTTTATTTATTCTGGATAGCGCTATCAGTTCTAAACTGTTCTCCCTAGAGGTTCGGTAAGGATCATCTCTTATTATTGATCCAGTGTTACTACAGGAGAAAACCTCAGATGTTACTATGGAGAAAACATGTGAGGCTTTGGGAAGGTTGTGTCTTGTTATTGCGGTTTTTGCCTACAAGGCAAGATTGCTGACTAGTCTTCAGATGCAGTACTGCACTTGAAGTCTAATCTATCTCTTCCTTTCAGGCTGATGAAGTGGAGAAATGTCAAATCACAATACAAGATGACGAAGAAGATTTCGTTCCAAAGAAGCCAAGCGTAAAACCTGACAAAGAAAATAAGAAATGCCATGAAGACACTAAACTAACAAGTGCTGGCCAAAAAAATACTGAGAAGAATACTGAAACTAACTTGAAAGAAAATGAAAATGGTCATTCAAATAAACTGGATGATGTTGATGAAGTCAACAAAATCAATAATACAAAGGTAATCACAGTGAAACCGCTATGCAGAGGTAGAAAATTTTTTTTGAGATCTATATTTTCACAGACAATTTGTCATGTTTGATAGCTACAGTAATTCTGAAGATTAGACTAATCGAATATCTAATGCCTAATATCGAATACCTATAATGATTAAACACCTAGTTATTAGTTAATCTACGAACTCAATACCTCAATCAAAGCGAGAACGTTTAATGCGTATTCCAGTGTTACTACAGGTGGAATCTTAAACTGACTATGTTATGTTATGTTATGTTATGTTATGTTATGTTATGTTATACTAACGAGAAAAAATGTGAGGCTTTGGTGGGGAGGTTGTGTCTTCTTGTTATTGCGGTTTTTGCCAACAAGGATAGATTGTTGACTAGTTTTTAGATGCAGTACTGCGTGAAGTCTAATCTATCTCTTCCTTTCAGGCTGATGAAGTGGAGAAAAGCCAAATCACAATACAAGATGACGCAGAAGATTTCGTTCCAAGCGTAAAACCTGACAAAGAAATGAAGAAAAGCCATGAAGATGCTGAAACAAGTGCTGGCAAAAAGATTACTGAGAAGAACATTGAAACTAACTTGAAAGAAAATGAAAATGTTCATGCAAATAAACTGGGTGATGTTGATAAAGTGAAAATAAATAATACGACAAAGGTAATCACAATGAAACCGCCATGTAGTGGTGGAAAATTTTTTTTGAGATCTACATTTTTGCAGAAATTTTCACAGACAATTTTTTATCTTTAATAGCTAATTCTGAAGATTAGACTAATTGAATATCTAAATTACCAAATACCAACAATGATTAAACACCTAGTTAATCCACTAACTCGATACCTAAATCAAAGCGGAAAAGTTTCATAAAAAATATTCATATAGCCTGCAGTAGGAAATTTTTAATTCTGTAAGACTGTAACTACCAGGACTACTTCAGGGTTTATTTTGTATGCCTTATCAGTCTTAAAGACACGTTGCTTCACACGAGAACACTATAGAGATAATCACAAACGACAATTTATTTTCCCTATTTGTAGTCTTTTACGGAAAATTTTCAGCCCTAAACCCAAGTTCCCAGAAGGAAAATTATCCAGCTCTGCCGCCATTTGATGGATAACGAATCTCTTTCTCTGCATGCATGTTTCTGGAGGTGTTTCCACAAGCTATTTACAGTGCTGTTTGAAAACAGCTTGCATCTAACAAAGTCAATTTATTTTCCAGCATGACGTGGTTATGTTGGACGACGATTTCAGTGAAAAAGAAAAGAAGATTGTCAAAAATAACGCTTTGAAGAAACAGAAAACCTTGTCTCAAATGTAAGCCAACTGCTTCAAATAACTAACATTATTTATACTGGGTAGCTCTAACAGTTCTAGACTGTTCTTCCTAGAGGTCCAGTAAGGATCATCTTTTATTGATCCAGTGTTACTACAGGAGGAAACCTAAACTAAACGGACTTTATTTATATTGGATAGCTCTAGCAGTTCTAAACTGTTCTTCCCAGAGGTGCAGTGTAAGGAACATCTCTTATTGATCCAGTGTTACTACAGGAGGAAACCTAAACTAAACTAACTTTATTTAAACTGGATAGCTCTATCAGTTCTAAACTGCTCTTCCTAGAGGTCCAGTAAGGATCATCTTTTATTGATCCAGTGTTACTACAGGAGGAAACCTAAACTAAACGGACTTTATTTATATTGGATAGCTCTAGCAGTTCTAAACTGTTCTTCCCAGAGGTGCAGTGTAAGGAACATCTCTTATTGATCCAGTGTTACTACAGGAGGAAACCTAAACTAAACTAACTTTATTTAAACTGGATAGCTCTATCAGTTCGAAACTGTTCTTCCTAGAGGTCCAGTAAGGAACATCTTTTATTGATCCAGTGTTACTACAGGAGGAAACCTAAACTAAACGGACTTTATTTATATTGGATAGCTCTAGCAGTTCTAAACTGTTCTTCCCAGAGGTGCAGTGTAAGGAACATCTCTTATTGATCCAGTGTTACTACAGGAGGAAACCTAAACTAAACTAACTTTATTTAAACTGGATAGGTCTATCAGTTCGAAACTGTTTTTCCTAGAGGTCCAGTAAGGAACATCTCTTATTGATCCAGTGTTACTACAGGAGGAAACCTAAACTAAACTAATTTTGTTTATACTATACTGGATAGCTCTATCAGTTCTAAACTGTTCTTCCTAGAGGTTCAGTAAGGAACATATCTTATTGATCCAGTGTTACTACAGGAGGAAACCTAAACTAAACGGACTTTATTTATACTGGATAGCTCTAACAGTTCTATTTATTTATTTATTTATTTATTTAGGTTTAAGTTTAATACTTCGAAAAGTTCTAGCAAAATAAAAACTAACGTACCGAGGTACAGTACAGTATTATTTGAAATTCCATAATTCACCAACAAGACAAATACAATAACCGGGACCCACACACAAGCGATAAATCTATAATTGAAATAATTTGCACTTTTTGTAACAGGAAACAGCCAAATAAAGAAAACAAGCTGGGAGTTTTGGATGAAAAAACTGGGACAGAACGGTAGGCCTGAAGATTACTTAAATGTATGCATTGCTCTCCCAATACCATATCTGTGAATGTTCGGTCTTAAGCTCCGGTTAAACGAAGATGATAGTTGCATCTCTCGTTCGTGTTTGACTCGCATGCAACTTTAATCGACTCTCATGCACCCTTCATCAACTTTGAACTGATTCAAATTTTAATGGGTTGATCTTGATCAGAGTTTTTACGCGCTCTGTAATATAAGTCAACTCTCGTGTAACTCTTGTTTTCGTTTGACCGGGGCATGAAAGTTGAGCAAACTCTGATGCAATCTCTCGCTTCTCAACTCTCATCAACTCTCATGCAAACTCTCGTTTCTCAACTCTCATCAACTCTCATGTAAACTCTCGCTTCTCAACTCTCATCAACTCTCATCAACTCTCATGCAAACTCTCGCTTCTCAACTCTCATCAACTCTCATGCAAACTCTCGCTTCTCAACTCTCATCAACTCTCATGCAAACTCTCGCTTCCCAACTCTCATCAACTCTCATGCAAACTTTCGCTTCTCAACTCTCATCAACTCTCATGCAAACTCTCGCTTCTCAACTCTCATGCAAACTCTCGCTTCTCAACTCTCATCAACTCTCATGCAACTCTTGTTCTCGTTTGACCGGGGCATGAGAGTTGAGAAAACTTTCATGTAAACTCTCGATTCTCAACGCTGATCCTCGTTTCACCCAGGCTTTAGTAACATTTTTTAATTTTTTCCAGGGAATCAGTTGTTGAAACGGTCGGTTTAAAGAAAGAGTTAGGAAAAGAACTGGTCAGTGCAGTTTCAGACTTTTATATGTCTTTCAAAATTATTGGGGGGGGGGGAGTGGTCCTCCTTCCCCTGCCCCCCAGTGTCCGCCACTGTCACTGTCCTTGCATTTAGGCTAATGACCTTGTTTATTTAGCCATCGCTGAAGACTGGTTTCGAACCTGTTCGTCTTCCTTTGCCTTCCCCAAAAGCTGTGTCAGCAGTTCCTGAGCAATTGAGAAGATATTATGGTGATATACTTATGATCACAGAGTTCATTCATTTCTACGGAAATTTTCTCAGTCAAGATGGAGACTTAAAGTGTAGCCCAGGTACAGTAAAGTTAATTGAAATCTGAGCAGGACCCAGTGTAGGTAGTGTTCTACAATAAGATGTCGTGATTTGTGTCTGAACTGCCTGAAAAATATCTCAAACGTGGTGATCCAGTGTAGGTAGTGTTCTACAGTAAGCTGTCGTGGTTTGTGTCTGAACTACCTGAAAAATATACAGTATCTCAAACGTGGTGGTCCAGTGTAGGTATAGTATTTTACAGTAGGCTACTGTGGTTTGTGTCTTGACTACCTGAAAAAGAGATCTCAAACGTGGTGGTTCAGTGTAGGTAGTAGTCTACAATAAGCTGTCGTGGTTTGTGTCTGAACTACATGAAAAATATCTCAAACGTGGTGGTCCAGTGTAGGTAGTATTCTACATAAGCTGTCGTGGTTTGTGTCTGAACCACTTGAAAAAGTATTCTTAAACATGGTTGTCCAGTGTAGGCAGTATTCTACAATAAGCTGTCGTGGTTTGTATCTGAACTGCCTGAACAAATATCTCAAACGTGATGGTCCTGTGTAGGTAGTGTTCTATACAATGAGCTGTCGTGGTTTGTGTCTGAACGACCTTACTTTTTAATGCCGCATCCAAAATTATTATTACAACATAACAATATGTTTGTTTTTCTCAGATGACCTTGTGTCAGGATTGATGAACGAGGGTCCAAAAAATGAAATATTCGTTCGCATTTTGATTGGTTTTCTTCAAGTTTTACTCAAAGATCTTCTGCGGCAAGATTCATCGAAAGAGGTATTAAAATTTTTCAGTCATACAAAGTACAGTAACAAAACTTATCATGCATGTATTCCACCGGTGTGTCTGGCACCAGAAAGTCTAGGGCATCAACTATTTTGCTGACCTCAGAATGACATTTCGTCAAAACTTTTTCAAGATTGGTTTAGAAACAAATTTGGAGTAGGGTTAGGTTCGGGTTAGGGTAAGGATTAGGGTTAAGGTTAGAGTTGATGTTTGGAATAGGGTTAGTGTTAGTAAAATCGTTGCTTTGTTACGTTTTGTCACTCTGAGGCCAGCGAAATAATCTCTTCCAAAGTCTAGCACCACCTCAAAAAATCTGCATGGCCATACATTTCCCACTTTTCGAATAGCGTTTAGAGGAACTTCTACTGTTAGCGCGTGTCGATTTCTTCAAACGATTTAATTGATTTGTGAACTCACGAGAAAATACTCAGAATGCTTTAGTTAAATATCATGGTTAAATATGTAAACATGTCGAGGTTGTTTGACAGCCATATTTTCAAATATACTGTACTTTAACAAGCAATTTTACTGTAGTGTGCTACAGCAACTGTCCAGTCACGCATACGTGATAAAAAGCCGATATAAACTTTAGCTATAGACAAAAGATAATGTAAGACATAACAGAACGGCGAACATGCAGATTCGATGTTGGGATAGTAGCGTAGACCTGACCAGTACCTGGGAGTCTGGGACCTATTGTTCTAACTTCTTTCACGTGCTTTACATCTCTGTTGTACTTTTCTTTTAGTTTTCAGACCTAGGAGTTGGTCTCCTTGATATGAGAGTGTCTGAATCGACTGTTGGTGAACTCACAAGACTGTATTTGCAACATTGTCAGAATGGTGACCATTCAACGAAGAAAACAAATAAGGTTTTGACAAGAAGAAAACTGGTAAGGAGAAGCACTTTTGTTTGTTTATTAATTTCTTAAGTTTATAACAGGTGTACTCCCAGTAAGGAGGTATATTATAACTTGAATGGTTGTATATTTTTCTAGAGTTGGAATCTCATGGAATTGAATAAAAAAGATATCGTGAACCTGACTGCTGTTCAGAAACTGGAGGTATGAGACGATAATGGTTTAGAAACACGTAGGAAAGAGCGTTTTGTTTTGAAGAAAGCGTAAAGAAGGATGGGTGAAAGGATAGAATAGGGGGGGGCAGACAATGGTGTAACTTAGCCCGAGGCAAGAAGAATCATTACGGGCAAGTAGAAGTTCATTCTTGATCGCCCAATCGGGCACTGAGTTGTTTCGTCGGAAATTAAATGCTACTCTAAATTGTTAAGTCTGCTTGTTTATATTATGCATGTATTCTCTTTTTGATATTTGTTAAGGTCCTTACTGCAAAAAATAGTTAAGTTGCATTACTTACAGACTAAGGTGGTAAAAAAGAGTTTTCTTTCCGCGAGCATCATCTGAACATAAAGAATTCCTGCAGACTTGCAGGATATTTTTATGCTGAATCTATAGCCATAGTGCTCAAACACTTTTTAATTTACAGCTGTTGACGTACTTACTTGATCAAATATTCATATCAGAAGTGTTTTATTCTCATCAGCAAGAACTGGAAGAAAACAGACGACAGACGTGGTAAGTTTAGTTTCGGTTTCCTCCTGTAGTAACACTGGGTCAGTAAGAGATTATCCTTACTGGACCTCTAGGAAGAACAGTTTAGAACTGATAGAGCTATCCAGTATAAATAAAGTTAGTTTAGTTTAGGTTTCCTCCTGTAGTAACACTGGGTCAACAGATTATCCTTACTGGATCTCTAAGAAGAACAGTCTAGAACTGCTAGAGCTATCCAGTATAAATAAAGTTAGTTTAGTTTAGGTTTCTTCCTGTAGTACTACTAGTAACACTGGATCAATAACAGATTATCCTTAATGGATCTCTAAGAAGAACAGTCTAGAACTGTTGGAGCTATCCAGTATAAATAAAGTTTAGTTTAGTTTAGGTTTTTTCTTGCAGTAACACTGGATCAATAAGAGATGATCCTTACTGGACCTCTAGGAAGAACAGTTTAGAACTGCTAGAGCTATCCAGCATAAATAAAGTTAGTTTAGTTTAGTTTAGGTTTCTTTTTGCAGTAACACTGGATTAATAAGAGATGATCCTTACTGGACCTCTAGGAAGAACAGTTTAGAACTGCTAGAGCTATCCAATATAAATAAAGTTAGTTTAGTTTAGGTTTCCTCCTGTAGTAACACTGGATCAATAACAGATTATCATTAATGGATCTCTAAGAAGAACAGTCTAGAACTGCTAGAGCTATCCAGTGTAAATGAAGTTAGTTTAGGTTTTTTCTTGCAGTAACACTGGAACAATACTAGTAAGAGATACTCCTTACTGGACGTCTAGAGAGAACAGTTTGTAACTGATAAAGCTATCCAGTATACAAAAAGTTACTTTAGTTTAGGTTTCCTCCTGTATAGTAACACTGGATCAATAAGAGATGACCCTTTATGGACCTCTTGGGAGAACAGCTGACGTATTAAGGCGAAAATGTTGAAATAACTTTCTGATGTCTAAGATCATGGTATTTCATTTGTCAAATATTTCAGGGTAAAAAAGATCGATGTTGACACAGAAATACGGGAACTAATTCAAGAACAAAAGAAACTTGAAGAAGCGAAAAACCCGCAAAAGGAAATTGACAAATTTTTGGTGAGATACAAATATATTACGATTCATTAATTCATTTGAGTGTAGAATTATATGTCAATATATTATGATTTTATTTTGCTAAGGCTAGTTGTTCTTGTCAGTCAAACCCCTGTTAAAGAAACAATTATTATTCAGAGTTTTCTTTCTATAATTCTTATTTTACAGTTTAGCAAATGAACTACCAAAAATTCTAAGACTTTTTTTGTTTAATTTTAGGAGAAATGCGATGGAACCAATGGGGGTAAGAATACAATACTTGTTTGTACTATACCCACGTGAAACCGCACAAGTTGTTACAGGTCTGCAAACAAGTTGTTACAAATCTGTTCACAAGCTGTCGACAAGTTGTGTTCGCACTGCTTGTTCCCAGTTGTTGTAACAAGTTTGGAACAAAAGATGCAGTTTGAAGCTGTTAACAAACAAGCTTGATGGCATTATCAGACTTGTTACAAGGTTGTTCTAACAAGTCTGATACAGTCGTGATATAACAAGAATGTTACAAGGTTGATGACACAAGATTGTAACAATGTTGTTATGTCGTGACTGTATCGGACTTGTTGGAACAACCTTGCAAAAAGTCTGATAATATTAACAAGCTTGTTTCATACTGAACAAACTTGGAACAAGTAGTGCGAACACAACTTGTTGACGGCTGGCTAGCAGACTTGCTACAAGATGTAAGATTTTTACATGTGTAGTTTTTAGTCCTCTTTGGGGCCATTCACAAAGGATGTCCGAGCCGAGGGGGGGGAGGGGGGTTTGGAAAATCAGGACAAACTCGGACATAGGGGGGGAGGGGGGTTTTTTAGCAATCCGGATGTACGAAATTTAAAAAAATTCAAAAACAAATTTCTTTTTCCCTCTATTTTGAGCAGTTCTTCCCATTGTGAAATTGGCATTTTGACTATGCAGTTAACACTAGATTTTGTTTTAATTAGTAATTTATATGTTTTTGTGTTCACATTTACAGTTATAAAAAAGTTCTAAAAGTAAAAAAGTTTTTTACTCTTGATATATACAAGGTTGCGTGAGTTTTTGCGAGGCATGGCGGATGTCCGGGGGGAGGGGGGGTCACTAATTCGGACAATGCCGGACAAGGGGGGGAGGGGGGTCTGAAAATCCATCATTTGGCCGGACATCCTTTGTGAATGGCCCCTTTCTGTATTGTATTTAATTAAAATAATTCCCGCAATGACTATCATTTATATGTTGTTTACTTTTGTGTTTGACTTCCCAAATCCTTTGACTTGCGTATATAGAGAAGGCAGTTGACAAAGGCCCGACTGATTCTGAACAAGCGAGAGATGGAATGAGTGGCACAGAGAATATCGCACAAGAAAAAAATATGGAAAGCACAGAGAATAATATCAAGAAAGACGACACCACAAGCAGTAACTTAACAACACGACAAGAACTGGCGGCAAAAAGTAAAATTGAGAAAGAAAAATTTGATGAAATGCGTCGTTTGGAGTAAGTGAGAAACCTTTCTGTCAGTATTGGGTACTCACGTAAAAATCTCGCAACTTGTCGACAAGATATGTTCGCGACAGGCTTGTAGCAAACTTGTCAACAAGTTGTAACAGTGCTGTTATTTTATCAATTTGCTACAAGGTTGTCACTCACAACTTGTCAACAAGATGTGTTCGCAACAGACTTGTAGCAAGCTTGTCAACAAGTTGTTACAATGCTGTTATTTTATCAATTTGCTACAAGGTTGTCACTCACAACTTGTCAACAAGATGTGTTCGCAACAGACTTGTAGCAAACTTGTCAACAAGTTGTAACAATGCTGTTATTTTATCAATTTGCTACAAGGTTGTCACTCACAACTTGTCAACAAGATGTGTTCGCAACAGACTTGTAGCAAGCTTGTCAACAAGTTGTTACAATGCTGTTATTTTATCAATTTGCTACAAGGTTGTCACTCACAACTTGTCAACAAGATGTGTTCGCAACAGGCTTGTGGCAAGCTTGTCAACAAGTTGTGACAATGCTGTTATTTTATCAAGTTGCTACAAGGTTGTCACTTACAACTTGTTGACAAATTGTTGAATTGCAGGACGATAACAAGTTGTTGCAACAACTTGTTGTAACAAGTCTGTTGAGCTCAACAACCTTGTAGCAAGCTTGTCAACAAGTTGTAACGATGCTGTTATTTTGTCAAGTTGCTACAAGGTTGTGTCACTCACAACTTTTTGACAAATTGTTGAATTGCAGGACGATAACAAGTTGTTGGACCAACTTGTAACAAGTCTGTTGAGCTCAACTGCCTCAACAACCTTGTAGCAAGTTGTCAACAAGCCGTTCACAATTTGTTAACAAGCTTAATAAGCAGTGCGAACACATCCTGTTGACAAATTGTTGGAACAGCATTGCTACATGTCTGCTGCATGTTTGTTACAGATAGTTTTAACGAATGAAACAGAATAATATCAAAATTCGTGTTATTTTCACACCCAAATATACACACGTTCAGATTTGTTTACAGATTATTTTGTGTTCTTTCAGTGAAAAGTTATATCAGAAAAAGCAAAAAGTTGAACGGTTTAAGGTTTGTACAAAATTTTTTGAACATTTCACTTCACGAAGTTTTCAGCGTTTCTTTCCGAGTGTTTCGGTAGTAAAAATCACATGCATTTGGGGTTAGTGGTAAGGCTGGATTTTGGTGGAAATAGTGGGGGAGGTGGAACAAAAATTAGGGGAGATGGAGCAGTCTAGCTCATGACTCCCATGGAAAGTTAGAGCTTAGAACGAGCCACAGTCAACGTCGTGACGTATGCATGTAGTGTACATATGTATCAGTGTATTAATGAATTATGACTGCACAACTCATTCAATTTTGCCCTTCATTACAATTACTACAAAGTTTCTTTCAAAATATTGTGTTAAAAGGATACTTGACACGGAGATGAATTGCCTATCGCTGTTTCAATTTTACAGAAAAACTTTCTTTCGAAGTGTAGACCCTAAACAACCAAAAAAGTCAAATTTTCACTTTGATCTATCATTGAAACTTTCCCAAGAGGAGGTGCATGACTTTTCAGGGGAGGTGCAAAAATTCTCAAGGAGGTGCAAAACGATCTCAGGCGAGCGCCTCCCCTCAAAATCCGGCCATTGTTAGGCACTTCAAACTTAGAAGTTAACACTTAATCATCTTCGATATTATAATTCATATTCTAGGAGATCATAAACCAAGTGAGGGATTGTCGTCGTCTTGAATCTTTGGGAAGCGATCGTAATCATAGTCGATATTGGTTATTTCAGTCGCATCCTGAAGCATTGTTTGTAGAGAAGATGGCTTCCCCTGACGTAAAGGCGACGGAGTGTCCTGACATTGGGGAT